AAAAAGAAAAAATAGTTTCTAGGCTAAGTTTTCCCCGTGATTATTCTAGCAAAGATTTCTTATTCATTCCTAATATTATTTAATTCTACCAATCGTAGGGATAATCGCTAAATTAATTTATACCTTTTTTTCAAACAAGTTAAATCGTAGATATTAATTGTTATCTGTTTCCTCTCGGTCTCAAGATGAACAACTAACTCTCATAAGTTCCTAAGATTCTAGTTCCCTTGGCAGATTCTATCAACCTCTCGGTCTGTTTAGTCTCTTACGTTATGAATTTCCCATTTTTAGCAATCAACTATCTCCTTTCGGTCTCAAGTCAATCACAAATATGCACAAATACAGGTCATATATTCACACAATTAATATAAGCACAAGAAATTGATAAACAAATGATAGACCAGAATGTATAAATAAAATCAATTCATATTATATTATGAGTACTCACAAATCATAAAATCTCAAAGCTACTAAACATATTCTCAAAACTCAAAATAAATAAATCCATGAGTTCAATGAAGAAGAAAAAGAGAAAAGAAAGAAGAACTATTGTCGTCGTTAGTTCCCGAACCTTCAATCTTCACTTTCTCGAATTCCTCGTGTGTTTCGTGCTTTCTATAGGCCTCCAAAGGTGTCAAAAGTCTCAACACCGAGTTCTCCATGTCTCTTTTATATTGTAGGGCAATTATGGGTCGAAAAAGGGAATAAATCACATAAGAATGCCATTTTTGTTGGTTACTCTGCGCGTCACACGACTCGTGTCACTGCCTCACACGAGTCGTGTTACTTTCCTCAAATTTTCGCCAACTTCCAGACTCACACGACTCGTGTGGTGTCACACGACTCGTGTCACTTCCACACAAGTCGTGTGAAAAAGCCATAGCAAAATTCTTGTTTTTTCCCTGCCACACGACTGGTGTCACTGCCCACACGAGTCGTGTCTTCATCTGCACCTCGTTTTCGCTGTTTTTCGTCCCGATTTCATTTTCAACGCTTTTCTGGACATATTTCCTACAAAATCAACGACAAATGTACCTCTATCATAGATTAATAAATAAAATGAAATGGTGCACAATCCCACGATAAACACATCTAAATATCTTAATATATCACTTATAATGCATAAAAATATGATGAATGTCACGCCTCACTGAAGACGGACCCCGACCCACTCGGATTTTATCTCTCAAAAAGACGACCTCAGACAATAAAAAATCCTCAAAACCAGAGCTTCCAGCTCCGACCCGATGCCAGGTCAGCATCCAAACGACGGGCGGTCTGAGCCTGATGATAGACAGAGACATCAGAAATTGGGCAAGGTAGAATTATGACCAAAGTGCTCAGGTCGGCTTCCCGACACATCAACGGTTAGATCGACATCCCAGACACGGATCAATCAAGGAGCGAAGACGGAGAAAAACAAGCAAGGCGAGAAGAAAGTCCAACCTCAAGTACCCAAGAGGTCGGACCTCGAAGCACACTCAGAGTTAGGAAATAATAAGATAGTGCCACTTGCAAGCCAATGATGGCCGATGACGCGCTCACCAGCCATACAGGCCTACAACCCATAGACTCGTAGGGCGACATGTCCTCATGAATTTTTGTCAATCAGCATTAAATGACTGTCACCATTTAATTTTTTTCATTCCGATTTATTGTATGACGTGACCAAGTGAACATTGGATGAACAGTAGCCGAGGATGTTTGGCTATAATAGTCTCATGTTTTATTTATTGTGGATAGAAGAAATCTCTCAAACTCTTTAGAGTAAAAATTCTCTTTCTACATTCATTGTAATAAACTGTGATTATTCGTGATTAATTCGGTAATTAAAGCTCAGAGTCCCACCCCGGAGTTCTCAAAGGCCGACCACTCTCCAGTTCAAATTTCACCCCTTACCAGAAATTTTCGCTTTATCTCACGGTTTCATTTTCTTAATCCATACTTAATTTTCAATTTGTTGTTGATACAAATCCACGTATCAACAATATTAGCCATAAAGAAAAAATTCAGGTATAGTGATATGTACAAAATGTAAGGAATTTCACGGGTATATTCATAATTATTAGGCAGAATTGAATAAACCCAATGTAAATTTATAGAATATGGATCATTGCATAAATTAAATTGCAAATAAAACTTACAAGAACCCAGCTTATAGTCATTCCCTGTTTTTTTGATCTATGATGTTCATCTACGATCGTCTTCTTTGTAATTTCCTCCAATTATGGATTTGTCTTACGATCCTCTTCCTCGTAATCCCCAATGATGGATTTTCTTTTACTATGAATTGTTTCTCTCTCCCGCGTCTCTCGTCTTTTCATAAATCCCTTGATGTTGAGAAATTTATTTTCGTATGAGCCGAGAGAGAGGGACATGT